TAAGGAAAAGAGTAAAAAGGGAAGAAGGGGGGGGGTTTGGTGATTGTGGTGATAAAGAAGTGGAGGTGAAGCGAGTCTACCTGAGGGTGATCCTCTTGGTTCTGAATGTTTTGCTCTGTATGTTAGAAGATGCTCAATCCCCAATGTATATAAACCAGCAATACTTATAGAAAGCCCTAACATTGACCACCAAAGGATAAACAAGATAAAAGAGGGGTCAGATGGCAATGAAGAGAGAATATAATCTCAGAGAGTGAACCAGCACTGTTTTCCACTTGGTTCTGGGTGTATGCTGGTAATGTTTTAGAAGGTATTAACTTTCACCATTGTTGAACAAAATGAGGCAGAAGAAAACGAAAAACACAAAACAAAGCCCATATCTCCTATATCTCCTAAAATGAAATTGAATACTTTGAAGGGATTCCAGAAGTGGAAAATATATCTAAGACATGTAATTGTAGAAATATGAAAGTCAACATGGAAAAAGCTTAAAATGAAGAGCTAGTAAATATTGTAGTTAAGGTAGGAAAAGAGAAAAATATTGGAAATTTTTAGTCTGATATAAGAACTAGTCATAATGGAAAAAGGAAAAAAAAGGGGGGGGACCCTCTAGTTTTGTATACTATTTTCCCTTGATTTTCCCTCAAACCTGGAGCTTTCCAGAGTTGCTTGGTCAAGAATTTGCTCTTCCCTTGTTCTTCCAGCTGGTCTTCTGGGGGAGGGGTCTGCTTTGCTGATTCTCAGGTATCTGTGCCTGGACGGAGATGCCCCACCCCCTTGCCAGGTGCTGGGCTCAGTGGGATCTGTTTATCCTGTGAGGACCCTGTTCCCAGCAGCCGCCTCTCCCAGGCACAAGGTGGAACAAAGAGGAGAAACAATGGCCCTGGCCAGATTTCCAGCTCTGGAATGGAGCTCCCCATGTTTAACTAACCACAGTCTCCCCGATCGCATTTGCCTAGATGCTCCTGGGGGCCAACGCAGGTGCGCTGATCTGCACAGCTTGGGGGCCCCCAGTGGCAGGAGAGTCCTCATTGTTCTGTGCCCTCCCCACTTCTGCCAGTCCCCGGGGGAAGGCAGGATACCGGCTTTGTCCTCTTGGTCAAAGATCCCTGGGATCTGGAGCCCTGTGCCACTGGACCTTCACTCCCAGGGGCCACCTCTCTGAATGGGAATAGGGCTCAGTCACCCCCGTCCGGAGCCAGCCCGCCTAACCGACTGGCTTCTTCGAAATGCCAGAGGATATCGGACCACGATTATCGGTGAGCTCTCCCGGGCGCCCCTCCTCTTATATTGACAGCAAGAATCTTGAGACTTCACTTTCCCTGCTAGGATTTTGCCTGATTTCCCCGCTAAGCACTTTTCTGCCCAGGAAAACTCCAGCATAGATTTTTTTCCCACCTCCTTACCTTGTTAGAAGCAAAAACTTTTCTCTCTGTAGCTTTCCAGCTTTTCTCTCTTTAAATGTTAGGTGGAATTCGTAGGTCTTCAGGATGTTTTGAAAGTTAACTAGGAGAAGTTTATGGGACCAGGTGAGTTGAGGACCCCTACTCTTCCACCATCTTGCCCCTCCGTCTTTTTTCTATGTCTTTTATTTATTTCTTAAAAGGATTTTATTTATTTATTCATGAGAGAGAGAGAGAGAGAGAGGCAGAGACACAAGCAGAGGGAGAAGCAGGCTCCAGACAGGGAGCCTGATGTGGGACTTGATCCTGAGACGGAGGATCATGCTTTGAGCCAGGGAGGGGCAGGTGCTCAACTGCTGACCCACCCAGGCGTCCCATTTCTATGTCTTTTAATTAGAAGATTCATCTACTTATATTTAGAGTATAAGTATAAACAACTTACTGTTGTTAATTTATTAATTGTTTTGTCTTGTGATTGTTTTGTCTGTCTTTTCCTCTCTTGGTCCCTTCTTTTCTCATTTATTTATTTATTTGTTCATGACATATTTTGATTCCCTTCTCATTTTCTTTTGTGTATCTTCTATACATATTTTCCTTATAGTTATCATGGAGATTACATAAAACATCTTCTAGTTAAAACCATCTATTTTAAATCTTTTTTTTTAATTGATTCATGAGAGAGAGGGTGGAGGGGGGCAGAGACACAGGCAGAGAGAGAAGCAGTCTCCGTGCAGAAGCCTGACCCAGAACTTGATCCCTGTACTCCAGGATCACTCCCTGGGCTGAAGGCAGGCGCTAAACCACGGAGCCACCCAGGGATCCCCAAAACCATCTGTTTTAAACTGATACCAACTTAATTGCAATCACAACACTCCTTCCTCCCGCTACTTCATGTTGTCATTGACACAAATTACATCTTTTGATATTTTGTATTCATTAACATTTTTAGTTATAGTTATCTTTTATTCTTTTAAATTCCATTCCAGAATTAAGTTACTTTTGCACCACTAATTACAATACTACAATACTACAATATTACATACTGTATCTATCTATGTATTTATCTTTACCAAAAGCTCTATATTGTCTATTTTTATATTGCTGTTTAGTATCCTTTTTTTTTCAAGTCCTGTCAGCAGTTTTTATAAGGCAGGTCTAGTGGTGATGAACTCCCTCAGCTTTTGTTTATTGGAGAAGGCCTTTATTTCTCCTTAATTTTTGAAGACCAGCTTTTCCAAATACAGTATTCTTGGTTGACAGCTGTTTCCTTTCAGCATTCTGGATATACTAGCCCATTGCCTCCTGCTTGCAATGTTTCTGCTGAGATAATTGCTCACTTATGGAGCTTTCTTGTACATAATGAGTCTCTTTTCTCTTGCCTCTTTCAAGATTCTTTGACTTTTAATAGTTTGATTATAATGTGTCTTGATGTGGGCCTCTTTGTGTTCATCCTAGTTGAAGCTTATTGAACTTCTTGAATTTAGATACTTATTTCCTTCCTCGGATTTGGGAAATTTTCAGCCACTATTTCTTAAAACAAGCTCTCTACCAGTTTTTCCTCACTCTTCTTCTGTGACTCCTATAAATGTGGATATTTGTCCACTTGATGATTTCCCATAAGTCTCTTAGGATTTTTTTTGACTTTTCTTCATTCTTTTTGTTCCACTGACTTGATAATTTCAAATGATCTATGTTTGGGTTCATTAATTCTTTCTTGTGCTTGATCAAGCCTACTTTTGAATCCTTCTAGTGAATTTTTCAATTCAATTATTGTATTCTTCTGCTCCAGAATTTTTAAAAGGAGTTTTGCTTGCTTGCTTCCTTTCTTTTTCTATCTCTTTGTTGATATTCTCATTCTATTCATGTATTCTTTTCCTGATTTTGGCTATTAGCTTATATATACTTTTTTGTAGCATTTTGAACTGTTTTGGATTTTTTGTATGGTGATTTCTAGATCTCCATTTCTTTAGGGTTGGGATATTTTTAGACTTATTTTGTTCTACTGATTGAGCCATATTTACCTGTTTCTTCATGTGCTTTGTTAATTTTTGCTGTGATTATGCATCTGCAACTATAGCCACCTTACCATCTTTACGGACTGGCTATAAAGACTTTCACCAATCAGCATAGCTAGAGATTCTGTGGGCCTCTCAAACTTCTCAGGTGTGTGTCTTCTTTGGGCTTGTATTGTAATTTCCCAATTAGATTTGTTGGTCTTTATCAGGCACTTGTAGTCTTTTGCTTCATTTAGTGTCTATCCATGATACTGCAGGTACTCTGGTATTGCAACAAGCTGCTAAATTCCCTTTTCTTCTTAGTGACCCCAGGCATCTAAAGTATGCCAGTTCTGTTAATGCTCCAAGTTAGATGGGAAAGAAACCAGTCCGTTGAGCAGCTGCCCCAAAGCCAGAATATTGGGCCCCCATTCCAGTCTTCTCTTTCCCTCCCAAGGGAGAAGCTACAAGCTGGGCACTTTCTGCTGATTGTGCCAAGTTGTCCTGGCTTCTGTCTGTGGTATACTACAAATTCTCCAGTGCTGCAAAAAGTGGCTGAGCTCTCTTTTGTTCTCAGCAGCCCCCTAGGACTCCAAAGTATACTAGTTCTTCATTAGTGCTCTGAGTCAGGCAAATCAGAAATCATACCCATGGGCAATCCCCCCAAAAGCTGGAACACTGGACCTAAGTTCCACTCATCTCTTTCCCTCCCAAGAGAAAAGCCTTGAGTTGGGCTTTTTCTCCTGATCACTCTGAATTGTGTGCTGGCTTGGGGAAAGTACAATTGTAGGTTTAATAAAATGGCTTTTCTTACCTGTTTCAATGGATTGTTCTTTCTTGGCTTTTAGTTTGTCTGGGTTGCTAAGATTTCTTAACTGGTTTCTGGAGTTCTCATAAAGACTTTTTGGACTGTATGTGTTGCTAAATCAGTGTCTTGTGGAGACACTGGAGATCTGGAGTTGCCTCTTGCACCATCTTGCTTTGTGATCAGACTTTCTCTTTCATTCAATATAGTTCTTTCTGTTTGGATTTTTTTAATATTTTATTTATTTATGTGAGAGAGAGAGAGCGAGCACATAAGTAGGGAGGAGAGGCAGAGGGAGAAGCAGACTATCTGCTGAGCAGGGAGCCCAACATGGAGGACCCTGGAATCATGAAATGAACTGAAGGCAGCCGCTTAACCAGCTGAGCCACCCAGGGGTCCTGCTCTTTGAATTTTTTATATACATATTTTCTTTTTAAAATATGAAGAAAAATATTCAAACTTAAATTCAAAAATGTTGAAGGAAAAAGGTATTTTCCATTGCCAAGAATGGTAAGCATATACAAAGCATTGGTTATGTTCTTTTATTCTAATTTATACTAAAGCTCAGTAAATATTAGCCTATTTTCACATATATTATATAAAATTCCCACTATTGCCTTTTCCAAATTCTTACAGCCTTAGCAAAAGTATAAAAAGGCATTTTTTTGTAGGATAAGAAATAAACCAACAATACAAATTATTATGGAACAGATATTTAAAATACCTTTAACCAGTGTAAATAAGAATAATTGTGAAATAAATGGATTTAGTTAGTTTTCGTTTTCTTTTGGGTTTTAGGCATTAGGATTTTTGTCTTCTTATGGAATAGGAATGGAATACAACCAAGCCAAGGTAAGGTCATTCTATTTTTTTCTGGAACAAATCTGAATTTTTTTAAAAGGACATTGAATAGGCTCCTCTTTAGGTAAAAGAGTCACTGAGAGTGGTATTTAAAAGCACCAGCTCAATAGCCAGAAGTTTAAGGTTAAAATACCATAAGTTTCTTAATGTTCCATATTTCAGGTTTGCCATGATAGATAAATAATATCTACTTCATAGGTATTTCCTGATGATTAAATGAAATATCATGTACAATGCCCTTTTCACAGACTCCAGAGTTCACTAAGCCCTCCAAAAAATGTCAGCCATTTTTACAGATTAAGAGGATGAAATTTGGAATTTATTTTGGAGTAGTTCAAGGTTCATTGCTGGGCTAGGAATAAAAAAAAAATGATTGACTTGAGCTTCAAATATAGATGCTGGATATAGACATAGTTTTTTGTTTGTTTTTTTTTTTACTTTAGGCACTAATATATTACACCTTTGGAAGTGCTGGAGGAAGCATGATGTCCCAAATGATTTTGGTATGTAAATTAAATATTCTTGGGCCTACCTAGGTATGTTATAAATACAACCCTGTCAGAATATTAAGAATATATATGCTTGTGTTTCAGGGGTACAGATATTTGTCAGGAATCAATGTTCTACAAAATTGTGAAGTTGCCCTAAATCATTACAAGAAGGTGGCAGATTATAGTGAGTAATTCACATAATTTATTTTAAGATAAATAGACTTGTTGAGCAATTAGAAGAATAAATCAATGCAGTTGTATTTATGAAAGTATGAAATGACTATACTTTTAATATTTGTTACAATACAATTCTTCTAACACAATGTAGAGTTTTCTGATTTCTTAATAGTTAATTTTCAAAAGCTTTAAATGGATGTGCTCATCTTTTATTTTTGTTAGAATATGTACCTATGTTCTTGTGCTGTGCTATCCTTCAATTGAACATTTGAATGTAGCATCAATAAATATTAAACAGGGGACACCTGGGTGGCTCAGCAGTTGAGTGCCTGCCTTTGGCCCAGGCCATGATCCTGGAGTCTCAGGATTGAGGTCCCACCTCGGGCTCCCTGCATGGACCCTGCTCCTCTCTCTGCCTGTATCCCTGCCTCTCTCTCTGTGTCCCTCATTAATAAATAAATAAAATCTTAAATAAATAAATAAATAAATAAATAAACAAATAAATAAATATTAAACAGCTTTTCTCATTCTTACATTTGGAATATGGGATGGATTGTTAAAAATTCCTGAAGAAATGGACTTAAGATACATACACTATCAATCTCTATCACTGCACTTGAGAACAATTCAAGTAATCATTATTCTATTACCCTATCCTTTGTCTACAAAAAAATAGAGCAGGAGATTAATGTATGTTTCTAAATCTATTTTCAAAGTTGTGTATAACATTTCATCTTGCACATCACTGAACCAGACTCATGATAGATTTTTTAAATAAAAATCTTCTAAGAAGTAAATAGGGTAAGGTTCATATGGTTAATTTCTGTAATCAGAATAATATCTAAATACACATCTTTGGCATTATTAGGATCTGAGAAAGAAAAGAGGAAAATAACTGTTTCTTACTGTTAGATGCTATATACATAACAAGATCATTTCATATGCTTAATTAAATTGGAATTACTACATATAAACTCTGTTAGATTTATTCAAACAATTTATATTTATTTTCAGACTATTCATAGGAAGTAATTTAGGAGCAGTTATTATTCCTATTTGTAGTTTCTATCTTGGAAAAAGCCAGTGGTAGAAGGGGTCAGTTGCTTGCTCCTAACATCTGTCTTCTTTTCTTGAGCCTGCTTGGCCAAGCTCTTCAGTAGCATCTGATATATGTTGATACAATTTTTGTAAGGACGGCAAAAAATAATGAGGTTTCTTGTACTTTTCTCAAAACGATATAAATAAAAATCAGTACATTTATATCTCCTAAGGGTAGATCTCCTTTTCTGTTAGTAGACCAGATCTCTAAGAATTTAAGAATAGGCCTAACAGTATTTTCTCTAAATTGACTATTATCTCTTGCAAGTTTATGTATTCTAGCTATTCTCCAGTTTTTCTGTTCACAGTTGCTGACAAATTGGAAAAAAGTGAAGGTATTCCTGTGGAAAAAGTGAGACTAACTGAGAGACCTGAAAATCTGAGTTCTAACAGTGAGATTTTGGATTGGGATATATACCAATACTACAAATTTTTGGCAGAAAGAGGAGATGTTCAGATACAAGTAATGTATACAGACAGATTTGGATTTTTAGAACATGTAAATTACAAAGGGTTTGGTTTACTGAGTTCTAAAAGAGCTAACAATGTTCCATCCTGAGAAGTTAGAAACACCCCATCTTCTTTTCTTGTTCCCTGCTACTTGCAGTTTCAATAGCCTATGTGAAAGCCAGTTGTCATAGTAATGGCAAATTTTTCCTTTACATTTACTTCTAAAAATTTTACTTAAAAAAAAAAACACCTAGATTTTAAGTATAGAAAAAACACTGGATGCTGTGTTGAATTTAGTATGAATGAACTCTTACCAGCATTAAGAAGTGTTATGTCTTTGAGAATGGGAAGGGGACAGCATTTGTGTGACCTTTGATAGCCAAGAGTAAAGTCTGCTAGGTTTATGTTTCCAGACGTTGCTATATACCAGCAGACCAGCTTCCTGCCACTGAGGAAGCCAGATGCCCAGCATCAGTCACCTACCCAATAAAAGATATGGCCTGGGATGTTTTTTCTGCTTCATTTTTAGGCATACCAATTGCATCAAACTGAAATAGTATACTAAAATAAAATCACCAACTAAACATTTTCTTCACCCTTTTTATTTATTTATTTTTCAGGTAAGATATAATTGGCTTGTTTTCATTTAAATTAATGCTATTGCTAAAATAATTTTCAAAAATTGTCATTCCTAGGTATCTCTTGGACAATTGCATCTAATTGGGAGGAAAGGTCTGGATCAGGATTACTATGTAAGTCAATCTCAAGACTGTCATGTGGGATGGGGAGGAGAGTGGTGAGGGAAAAAGGAAGGAGGGTGGCATGGAAAAGTTTCTGGGGAGAGCCCATTGCTACTTCCTTGGTCAGATCCACTTATTAGCTTTTGTGGAAGAACAAAATTCACCAGAGGAAGCATTCCTACCTACCTCTAAGTACTAAGGAATAGAGGCTTCTGAAAGAGCATTTGGGGCCAGAGAGTTTCCATGCTCCCACCTCTTCTCACTGTAACTGGGGTTAGGTGAAGTAGATACCTTCACCTGCCAGCACTGGACACACCCATTCCCCAAAAGCCATCTGTGGAGAGTCCACCTGGGAGTTTCTTGGTAAGGGGTCTGAGGACCAGCCTCAAGCCACTTACAATATAATTAGAAATATTATTAAACATCTTTATAAATGTGCAAAGCTCCTTTCAATCATGTTGCTTAACCTTACTTTATCTCAATGAGGTTAGAAGATTAATTAACAACTCAAATTTATCGTGGAAGAAAAAGCAAATAAACTTGATCTACACCAGATCTCAATAAGATACCAGAGCCAGGGGATAAGATCTCATCTAGATTCTAATTGTGGTTTCAAGGCCATAGATACCCTCAGATCTGAGGAAGTACCTGGCATTCTTTTTAAAAGATGGTTTTGCGCCCTTGTCATTTTATAGAAGCCTTGTGCTCACTGTCTCCACGGAAAGCAGACCCTATTCCAACATAGTCCCAATGGCTAAACAATAGAAATATCTACTTTATTAAGGTGGTTATATAAAAGAGTAATTGTTGTTACTATTCATTTCACTTTATATTGTTTTTATGAGTATAACGTATGTTTTATATGAGGTACAGTACACGTTGGCCAAATGTCAAAGTTAATTTCATAAAATGTGATAAAATACATAGCAATTGAAATAAGCACGGGCATCTTAAGACAGCTCAATTGAAGATCTTCAGATTTTATTAATCCTCATTATAACCAAGGTTCTAGCTTCTTAGGTGGGAAGTTCTAGATACACAATATGACTCCAGTGTCAGATTTCAGCCTGCAGTGAGTTTTCAGGTTAAATAACAGATGCATAAACTGGGAAGAATTACCCATTTTCCATAAATGTGAAATTCTGTTGAGTGTGAAGCTACGCAAACCTCAGCTGTAGGTTTGGATACCCATCAATCTTTACAGGGTACATAAAAACCCTACAAAGCTAAACACTTCTGGGCAGCTCCAGCCACTATGAATACCAGATATGAGGATGAATGCCTCTATATGAGGATGAAGTATAATCCCAGGGCTGGCAATGAAGGATTCTGGTGCTGTAGTGGCAATAACCAGGCACTTGGATAACACCAAGGAGCCCAGTCGGCCTCTTCTATGGGTTCATTAACAGAGGTTTTTGTTTGTTTGTTTGTTTGTTTAAGATTTTATTTATTTATTCATAAGCGACACAGAGAGAGAGAGGCAGAGACACAGGCAGAGGGAGAAGCAGGCTCCATGCAGGGAGCCGACGTGGGACTCGATCTCGGGTCTCCAGGATCATGCCCTGGGCTGCAGGCGGCGCCAAACCGCTGCGCCACCGGGGCTGCCCTAACAGAGGTTTTATTATCTCTATTTTACAGATGAGGAGCTGAGACTAGAAGGGTAAAGTAAATTGTTTCAAGTATCACAGCTGGGTAATAATGTTAAGAATCAGAACTTGAGGGATCCCTGGGTGGCTCAGCTGTTTAGAGCTTGCCTTCCGCCCAGGGCGTGATCCTGGAGTTCAGGATCAAGTCCCACATCAGGCTCCCTGCATAGAGCTTGCTTCTCCCTCTGCCTGTATCTTTGACTCTCTCTTTCTGCATCTCTCATGAATAAATAAGTAAAATCTTTAAAAAAAAAAAAAAAGAATCAGAATTTGAAATCTGGGCTTCAGCATTCAAAGCCTGTGCTTTTCCTATTAAACCTTATTTCTTCTTTACCTGGGGGTGGCGGAGGTATACAACCTCTAAAATTTAGTTTCCTCATTTATAAAGCAAAAAGAAGGAATGATATGATTTGTCAGGTTTCTTTAGCTCAAACTTTCAAATGGTATGGTTGGGCCCCATGCTTCCCATCCAAAAGTCTGGTTTAATTTCAGAAACATCAGCATGGTTCAGGCACATTCTGGCGGCAAGCATTGGCTTGTCCATGAGGTTTCCTCAACCTAATAAACCCAACCTACATGGAGGGCTCCAGTCAAGGTTTCAAACCTCAAGACTGGTTGGCTTATGTGTCAGTTAGTTTAGGCTACATGATAAACCACTCCTCAACTTAGATGGCTTAAAACAACAACAACTTATTAAATTCCTGATTTTGGGTGGTCAGCAGTTTTGGCTGGGCTCAGCTGAGTAATTCTTCTGGTGTTAGACAGGCTCAACCAATCTTGACAAGGGTTGCTCATGCATCTGTAGAATACTGACCAGGGATGCCTGGTTTATGATGACCTCATCTGTGACACCTAGGATGACTGGGTCTCTCCACAAGCTCCTTTCCTCCAGGCTCCTGGGCTTAAATTTTTCACATGGTGAAAGAACACAAGCACAAAAGTCTCTTAAAGCCTAGGGTTGGAACTCACAAATCACTTCCACCATGTTCTTTTGGCCAAAGCAAATTACAAGGCCAGCCAACATGGAAGAGACAGGAAAAAAGGACTTCTTCTAATAGGTACAACTGCAAAATGTTGTGGTCATTTTTGGAGTTTACCACAGCTTAGCTGCACCAGGCTCAACTTGGAGTGGCATGGGAGATGCAAAGTAGTGAGAGAAGTTAAAAGGATAAACCTAATTTCTGAAAGAATGTTACTACAACTATTCCCATGGCTAGCCTCTTATCTTTCTGAGTCTTACCTCCTCAGAGAGGATTTTCTTGATCAAGTCTGTTCTTCCACCATTCATCCCATCATAGTGTTTATTTTCCTCTAGCCCATATATTCATCTTGACTTGTTTATTATTTGTCTCCCCACAATGGAATGTAAAGTCTTGTCTGTCTTGCTCATTACTATGTATCCTATACTCCAATAGTACTAGGTACATATTAGGGCTCAGTATTTATTGAATGAAGGAATGAATGAATAAATGAATGAATGATAGCATCCTAAGCATTATATGTTATAATGCATATAATGCATATAAGCATTATATGTTATATTTCAGGCCCTCAGCCTGAAAACCACCACTTGAGTCAGTATGCTAATGCTTCAGTCCATCAAAGAAAATTATTAGTGTAAGGTTCTCTATAATTGTAAGTAATGCCCAATTTACTGCCCACCAAATTAAATATTAAAATACCAGAAAATAGTTTGTCTTTTTTTTCTCTCCTCATTATTTGATTAATCTCTCTCATGAGTTGTCACTATAAGCAATATTTTCACCTCTCTCTCTCCTACTACCAAATTCATAATTACTGAAAAATATTGTATATGCGATCCTTGATTACATTATCTTGAATTTCTACACATACCTTTTAATGTAATTTGCATTCCTAAATTTATACAGGCTCAGAATGAATTGAATTAGGAAAGCTGGGTATTTGGCTGCATATTATTAAAGTGGATATGGTATAATTAAACCTAGCAGAAGCATAATATCAGATATGTAAGGGCAATTGCTTTGTCTACCTTGCCACCCATTAAAAAGACAAGAATCTGAAATCCTGAAAAGGATGATTTACAGATTTTGAGACAAAAGAAGTATTCACAATTTTTAAAAAAAATAATACATTTTCTTGGCATTTCATTCTAGGGGAAATGCTACAAACTGATTAAACTAGAGATTTTCTTGAACCAATGAAAAATCACGCTCATTGTTTTAAGAAGATATGTGTTTAAATAATAAAATTTCACTTCGCATAATGTATGGGACATACTATATTCATCCTATCTAAGATACCATCAATTATAAGGTACTTTATTTTATGTTCTATTGAGAAAGAAGAAAACACTGCCAATATAAATCACATGATGCCATTGGTAGTAAAAAGTGTCCTGATTAAAGTGTGAGGGGGGGCACATCTTAGAATCAGTAAAATATAATTGTAGGTGCTCAGTAAATATTTGAAGGAAGGATGGATGGTGCTTTAGTGTGTTTCAGGGGCTATAACAAAAATACCGTAGTCTGGGTGGTTTATAAACAACCAAAATCTATTTCTCACATTTCCAGAGGCTAGAAGTTTGAGATCAAGGTGCCAGCATGGTTGGATAGGGCCCTCTTCTAGTTTATGGACCTCTCATTGTATCACTCTTATGTAAATAAGAGTGAGCTAGCTCTCTGGGGCCTTGTTTATAAAGGCACTAAGCCCATCCATGAAAGCTCTGTGCCAGTCACCTTCTAAAGGCCCTACTTCCTAATACCATCGCCTTGGGTATTAGGTTTTCAACATATGAATTTTGAAGGGATGCAAATATACAGACCACAGCAGATGGATGGATGGATGGATGGATGGATAGATGTATGGATGGATAGATGGATGGATAGATGGATGGATAATTAACTCTTTGAGAGCAAAGACTCATCAAAGTAGCTTGCATGATACTTTCACATAGTGTTTAGTAAATGTTTATACAATTAAAGCAATAGCACTAGAGGCAGGTTAATTTAAAGACAAGTAAAAGAGAACTGAAATGCTGAATAAGCCATGAGAGTAGAAGGCTGTAGAAGGGGAAATTAGAGAAAGCTTCAATTCCTCTGGTCTTTATGGGATCATTATATTTAAAGATGGGGAAAACTCCAGGATTTTTATTTTCTTCTGATTCTTATTTGCTTATTCTCTTTTAACAATTCAAATATAGTTTCTCAGAGTAACTTTTTCCCTGAATTCTCCATTGCCAAATATTTTGAGAGCCAAATTCTGCAACTGAACTTGGAAAATTATTTCACAGAGTCACAGTATGAGAGCTATAAGGGACTATAAATCTTAAAATCTAGCTCCCCTGTTTTAGAGATTTATAAACTTATCCTTTCATTCACTCACTCATGCATTTATTCCAGAAATATTTCCTACGTCCCTGATATACAGTAGACACTTTGCTATGTACAGGAGTTTCAACACTAGAGGAGACAGAAAGTTAAACAGACATGTAAATCAATGGATGCATGCCATGAGAGTTACCTACAGGTATATTTGGGTCTTGGCTCAGTAGAGGCATTCATAAGAAATACCTTCATTTTCTATATTAGTGGGGTCTGATAAATGTGATTGGTAAATCATGCATTTGATCATACATTTGATTTGTTTACTGAGAGATGATTGATAAATCATACATTGCTACAATTTCCTCCTATCCAATTGACAGGTTATTCCAGACATTTGGACAGCATTTGTTGTTTCAAGATTCCCTTATGCTCATAAATTTCCAATGGCTTCAATTTTCTACCAAATAAAATAGAAGTCTTGACCTAGTATTCGGGACTGTTATAATATGGCCCCATCATATTTTTGTAAATCTTAGCTTTTGGATATTCTACTTCAGCAATGACTATTTCCTAGACATACCTTAGACATTTCTATCTCTGTTCCTTGCTCATGTTATTCCTCCAGACTATGATGCCCTGTTGCCCTGGAGAATCCTCTCCATCTTTTGTGAGACCTTTGTCCTCTTTCTTGACACCTTTCATGAAGGCAGAATAATAAGTGCATGGAAATTGAAATCAGGCTCCTTGTGGGACTCTAGTACCAGCTGCTTGACTTTGCTCTAGTACCATAGTGCAGGCTCAGATATTAATAGGACCTTCCTTACAGTGCTGTTGTGAAGAGTAGAAAAGACAAAGCTTGTAAAACACATATGTACCATTCTGATATTCCATACCTCTCTAATTCTTTCCAGTGTTCCTTTTTTCCCCATCTATGACATATTGTCATTGCTATTTGCTTATATGCCTTTCTTCTCGGCAGTACTGGTAGAGCGCAAATGTAGGGATGGTGTTTTTTATTCATCTATGAACCACTTATAATACTTAACATATTATCATATATATGGCACTTTTCAAGTTGCTGAAAGATTAAAAGAAGAATAGAAGAGGTGGATAGATGAATGGGTATATAGTGTGTGAGGTTCAACATTGGTGCCATTTGTATTTAGTTATGTTCACAAGGCAGACTGACTTTAGTGACAAGAGGTGACTCCCAAATAAAATGGCAATACCTCTGAGGCAAATGTGCATGTAAAAGAACTACTCACATTTCTTCCTTAAATCTTCTCTTGTCTTTATGAAGGAGCAGATCCTTGTACATCCACCTAGTCAAGGCTTTTTAAAGAGCAGAAGAGTTGTATCCTAAAAAGACACTTGGGAAAGCATCTTCATTTCTCATTCCTGAGGCAGATTTCTTTTAATGCTTTGTGTAGTTTCTGAGGAGAACTTCTGGGAGGTCAAGATGAGGCCTAGGGAATGGGGCAACAAGGGCCAGGTCAGCCCTTATGTGTTCTAGACTGAACATTTCAATTATGTGATGACCTAAAAAGAATCAGAGGCTTGACTGGCCGCCTTCATTTGATTTAGAAAGAATTGGCCTAAAGTTTACCTCCATGAAAAGACCCGGTCTCAGCAGACAGCCAGATGTGTCCTGTTTTACTCACTCTGCCTTATAAACATTAGGAAGCTACATATCCAATTCTACCAAATTGAACAAACTGTCTTATAAAGTAAGTACATAGCGTCGACATCGAAGCATACTTTTTCAAAGTAATGAACTCCAATAATGTAGTTCCAATGCTGGGATTCATCTGTCCTCCACAAAGCCACATGCCCATCATCCCTTTCCACATATAAGAAATGAGTCTTCACATTTAAAAATCATCCATGTGAACCATGTATGGCTCCCATTCTTCAAGTTTATGGATGAAATAGCATTTGAAATAGTGCCCTAAGCAGTGTGGGTGCCTTATAGATATTTTTTGAATGCATGTTAAATGAAATAAAGTTTGGTTTGAAAAACTGTTTTGTAGGATACATGTGTGAATGTCAATAATACTGTTCTTTTCTCTCCAGAAAGCATTATACTACTTCTTAAAGGCAGCAAAGGCTGGGAGTGCAAATGCCATGGCATTTATAGGAAAGGTATGTGCTTCATCTTGATAATTTTTTTTTCATTTCTTAAAAATCTTAAGAAAATAATGGTACCAGCTAATTGAACCCAGTATGTCATGACAGATGTCTTTCATGGAAGCAGCCAACCACAACATTCCACTACAGACTGAGGATAGCATTCTTGAGGTGATGGTTTGAGACAAAGGCCCATACAACAGCAGCATTTATCTGGGCACCAAAAGCAGCCTTGAAAGTGTACCTGGCCCAGGGTTCCTGGACTGAGTGTAGTTCAGAGGCCCCTACCTCCACCATGACTCCCTATTCTGGCCCGTAACAAGAGATCTGGGCTAGTTGAACATCTAACTGGTATAACCCAATGAGGTACCTAGATCCTACACCCTGGGAATGAGAACCAGCTCTAAGGGGGACCAAAGCCCATCCTTGGCCCCCCTATCAAGGGATGACCCTTGGCTGCTGAGTAACTTTTGTGGACTGTTCCTCTAGAGAGGCACATTTTTTTTCTCTCCTTCAAAGACCACTCACTCCCCCAAGTGCTGTCCTTTGCTCCCTGTAGCCTATTTGCATTAGTCACCATGGGGACAAATGCTCCTCTTCCTGAAGTGCCAAATACGACTTTAGATGAAAGGCAACGTGAGAAAACAGAGACAGAGTCCATTTCTTTGCCCTCAGGCAAGGTTACTCCAGAATGTATGTAAGTAGATAATTTCCTTGGTTTTTCATTTTATTAAAATTGAGGTGAAATTCAGATACCATAAAATTAACCATTTTAAAGCATGTGATTTGGTGGCGTGTACTACATTCACAATGTTGTGCAATTATCACTTCTTTGTAGTTATAAAACATATTTTAATCACCTGCAAATCCCTAGTTTTTTACATTCCCTTTTTGTTTTTGCAGATGTATTTAGAGGGGAATGCTGCAGCACCACAAAATAATGCTACTGCCTTCAAATACTTTTCCATGGCAGCCAGTAAGGTACGTCTTCAGCCCATTTCTGTAAGCACAGAAAAACATTTGGCTTTTATTACATGCAGACTGATGCCAAAGAGTTGATTCCAAAGCCCCGTACCCAGCTAGTGAGCCTGGGAGTTTTGCGTCCCGGAGAAGAGGAATATCATTGACATAAAATACGGCGTTGGGATAGAGGGAGACATATTTTGTCTTCTCGATAAATGAAAAGTGGCAGTGACATATGCTGCTCTAGCAGGAGGCCAGACAAAAGCTCAGCTTTCCTTCCCCCATGCAGTAGGTGAGGCCATCTAGCTCCTAGCTTGGGAAACAGGAAGTAAAAGACATGATGACTGCGGAAAGGAAAATTCAATGTCTGTGCTAAGCTCACGACAAAGACAAATAAATAATGCTCAGTTTTTCCCAGTTCAATCTCACCCAAAGGCCAGAAACTCCCCTGGTCCAGGAGGAAGATCATCAGCCAGGGGACTAGGACAAGACGATTGAGAGCATGGCTCTGCAGGCAGAATCCATGGTTTAAACATCAGCCCATGGGATCCCTGGGTGGCGCAGCGGTTTAGTGCCTGCCTTTGGCCCAGGGCGCAATCCTGGAGACCCAGGATCGAATCCCACATCGGGCTCCCGGTGCATGGAGCCTGCTTCTCCATCTGCCTGTGTCTCTGCCTCTCTCTCTGTCTCTCTGTGACTATCGTAAATAAATAAAAATTAAAAAAATAAATAAATAAACATCAGCCCTGCAGCATTCTGCCTGTGTGACCCCGTGACACACTTAACCTGTCTGTGCCGCAATATCCCCACCTGTAAAATGGGAATATAGGTTTGCCATATATAATTGTTGCCAGGATTTAATGTGTTAATATTTATGTGCCTCGTATTCCAAAGTACTTAAAGCAGTGCCTGGCTTACAGTAGACACAGTGTGTTGGCTATTAGGCTATTATCTTTTGCAGTCTGGGGCCAGTTAGGTTGTGTGAACTTCAAGGCATATTCAAGGCAGAATTGATTGGATCTGTGAGGGAATATAAAAATGGAATAATATCTCTCCTGCCATTAAAATTTTTACCTTGACTCCTGGGCTCTGTCTGATGAAACTCAGTAGACCTCTCTGAATCCCATTAGTACATTAAGAACATCCTCACTGCAACACCCATCAGCCTAATGTTGGGGAATGGCTCTGGTAAACTTTCTAACCCTGCACAGTAGGAAGCATGTGTTGTCTTACAACCCTTATACTGCAACACTGAGAGTAAAGATTTGTTCAAATCGGGGAATATTTTCAACTGCTCTCAGTTTTTAAAAGCCCACACGCTGCTTTAGGAGCCTATTTATAAATGACTAGCACCTCCGAGCTGCTGCTATTGTGGTGTAAATTACTGAGAAGGCTGGTACTCCGCTCCTCTCCCTTGTAATTTATATGAAATTTTTGCTCAGCAGGATAGTTATCTGGAGTACCATTAGGTTAGGAATGACAAGGGAAAGCAGATTGAAAAAGAGGTGGGGTAATGTAATAGAGGAAGGTCTGGCAAGTAACGCTGATTTGTCCGCCCAAAGGAATAATGCCAAAAGTTGGGTGTGTAAATTAACCCAGCTCCCAAGCTATTCAGGGTGTGTAACCAGCAGGGATCTGAGCTACTTGTGTTCTAAACCTAAGCAACCTTCCTTTACAGAGAAAATCTGAAATTATATTTAGGGTAAGTATTCTGAATGGCATCAGGTGGACATGACCATATACCCCTTTATCACCACCTGGATTGTTTATTAGATTTTTCACTTGGGGTCACTACCAAAGTAAAGAGTTTCTGCCTTCCATTCTGCATATCCATTCTCTTCTTTTACTACTTAAAACAAACATATATATACACACACACACACACACATACATATAGATATAGGTATATACACATATCTTTTTAAATGTGTTTTTAAGTTAGATCAGTACCAGTATGCAAATCTACAGTCTTTTTTACTTATTTTATCTTATTTACTCAGAAACATGAGCAGTTATCCTGTTGGGTCCATATTGGACCATATTCTGGTTTTCTCTTTCACACCTCTGAACATATCAGGCCCATCTTTATCTCTACACTTTTGTCATTTTGCCTACCTTCCCCCAACCCCTCATTCTGAATCCTAGTCATCTCCAGAGGAGAGGTCAATCCTCTCTCCTTCCACAAAGCAACCTCTACCCACCTTGGTTCATATCATTTTCCCCTCTTATGCACTTGCCTTACATTCACCCTCTGTAATGCTGAAACTGTACTGCTTCTACATTGTGCCTTCTCTCCTACTATCTGAAGACCATGTCTCCTCAACTAGAAGAGGATAAGTGGCCTTAGTACATAGTAAAGGTTCATTAATATGTAATAAATAAATGACCATCTGCTCTCTAGGTCCATGCCAATTAACCTAAGCAAGAGCACTAAGCCCTAACATGGAAGTTATATGTGGAGGGATTGCCTATATCTATGTTTTGTTTGGCGCAGAAAGTTTCAAAAATTAGGAAATTTCACATGGTGACAGATGGTAGCTATACTTGTGGTGAACATAGCATAATGTATAGAGAGTTGTCAAATCACTATCCTATATACCTGAAACTAATGTAACATCCTGTGTCAACTATACTGCAGTAATAAAAATTAGAAAATGTCATATAAAAGTCTAGACATCCAGCTTTTCTTGGAAAATGGGAAGAGCTGACCATTCCATGTGATAAGTTGCCTGGAACAGAGAGGAGTGGAGGTGCTGCTGCTGCCTTTAGACAGGGCAGGAACTTGCTCATTTGTCAGTCTCTTTTACTCTAATTACCGGGGTTAATGTACTTCTTACATTACCTGAATGTCCCCTGAAGGTAAGTCCGAGCTGGCTATGCCTGATGTGAAAGTTATGAATAAGTCCTCTGGTCCTTAAATAGTTGGTGAGTCAAAAGCTAGAAACTTTACCCTCTTTTCTCCCTTCCTCTTTCTCTTTTCATTTTCTTACCCTTCCCTTTTTCTCAATGTCTGAGTGGGGATAGTTAGAAGACAGACTCACCAGACTTTAGTACATCCATCACACCAGGCCTTACTACCCCCAGAGCAGACCATCCCAAGAGTCCTAGGACCACAGGTAGATAAAATCAGGGTACAATCAGGAAGAAGAGAGCAGTTGTATACAATCTGTTTTAAATACAGTTCTTAAAATAACTGGTTCTTTGATATGCACAAGCTCAAACTTTGGAGTTTTGAAATTATTTTTCAACTATGCCTCCTTTACTTATGTGCTATTCTTGCATCACTGAGGGGTACTCTGGCTGCATTCACAATAACTACATTTAAGTAGTACTAATAAATCTGGAGAGTTTTCTATCAAAACTTGAGTTCCTGAGGAAAAACTATAAACCTGTAAAACAAACCTACAGGTCTGCTGAATGACAGTTAAGTGGCCAAATGTGCCTCCTTACTTAGTCACTAAAGGGTGAAATGCATGATGGGAGACAAAAAGAAAAGTGAGGTTTCTGGTTGGGGAAGTCACTTTTAAGGTTCACTCCTTATCCACGATTGATATGCTAAATATCAGTAAATTTGAACATGTGCTAAATTCCAAAATGTGCTAAAAACTCCCTTCCCTAGACTCTTTAGAATACTAATCAGAAAAATAAATGGTAATTAATGTAGCATCAAGTGGAAAAGAAGACACTGATGATGTTATAAGCAGTCAAATTTGAGTAAAGAAACATATTCCAACAATGCTTTACCATCCATAAAGGCTAGATTGACATTTGCAGAATCTCTAAAATGCTTTTTGGCTACTAATGTCAACCTCCTTTGACCAAAGCAGGTAAGACATGTCTGGATAGACTTATCCCTTCTGGAAAATTCTACACATCCTTCAAGACCAAGCTCAAAGGTCATCCTTTGACAACTCAATCCCCTCAGTCCCTAGCCTGATCCAGGCAGTTGAGTGTTCCTCTTCTAGGTGTCCACAACATTCCTGATCTAATTCTACTTACCACATTTGATGTGGCTATATTAAGAGGTGATACCTAGCCTGAGGCAGGGATCATTGTTCATTCATCTTTGAACTTTCACCTCCTACCTCAGTCCAACACCTATTAAGGAGTTACACACAAAGCAAGCACTAAATAAATAAATGCTGAATGAAAGAATGGAGAAAAGATTTGACTTTTCTTTCCCTCTTTTCTAGTCAAAGGGGTTATGAATGTATGAAAGGGAAAACTAGACAGAAACAGAATAATTTACCAACTGTGCCTGATTAAACGGCCTTGATTAATCCCCTATTGGGTGCATTTTAAATATATAGAATGATTTTATCATAATTTTCCTTATCATGAATTCTTTTGGGACTTTATTTGTACTCTTTTTTTTTTTTTTTTTTTTTTTTGTACTTTTAAAACTGTTCCAGGGCAATGCAATTGGTCTTCATGGGCTCGGTCTTCTTTATTTTTATGGGAAAGGAGTTCCTGTGGTAAGTTAAATAATTTCATTATCTTTTCAACATATTTCTAGCAATTTATAGGGTAAAATTCATGATCGTTGCCTAATTTAAAGGAATAAGTCTCTAATACCTGGTTTGCCAGACTATTATACTTGATTATAGAAAATAAATTAATCCAGTGGAATATTTGCTAAAGAGACATAGAATAAATTTGTGACAAGAATAACAACCCTAATTGTATCTTAGAATGATAGATGCTAAGTAACCTTAGAAATCATATAACCCCTGAGGATTTTCTCTGATAAATTTATCTTCTTAGTGTGACCTCTTAACCTCTTAGTGTAACCTTTTAAGTGACCTTCCCCCATTATCTAACAAAACCTACTGTCAGTGTAAGAAAAGACATAATTTACAGTGAAAATGAGAGAATTATTTCCTAATAGAATCTAATATAATAGTGAAATAAAATGTATAATTCTTCTGATACTATTTTAATTAGCCTAAGTCACATAAGGCATTATCTATACTCTTTTCTTTTTTAAGTGGAAGGCAATTGTTACCATGGAGTTATACATACACCTTTGAGTAATAGAGTGTAATTATCTTGCAGAATTATGCTGAGGCACTTAAATACTTTCAGAAAGCTGCAGAGAAAGGATGGCCCAACGCACAATTTCAGTTAGGCTTCATGTACTACTGTAAGTGCTACAAATATGTCTGTTGCACCAAGAATGACAAATGCATTATTAAGTCTACTCCTTTCTTAACAAAAGTTAAATTGTTGGAGTGATTGTTTAGATAGAATATTGAGGCAGCAATATGAGGAGGAATTTGAAGACTTAAGGAAAGAACTCCAGTTGAGGGAGGAGGCAAAGAGGTACAGTCAGGAAGGTCACATTTGAAAAGGTCGAGTTTGAGGTGCCTTGTGATACCCAAAAGCAGGTATGAAACTCACAAGAAAGTTCAGACTTGAAAAGAAAGGTTTGAGAGGCATCAACATACAGGAGTTAGTCAAAAGTAGCTGAGACTGCAAAACAAAAAAGAGAGAGCATGAGAGGAATGGTGGACCATGGTCAGAAATCTGGTAGTTCTCAGTGCTGTGTTGAAAAGATGGGCAGAGAAAGAGTAGTCACGAAAAGACTGAAAAGGCATGGTCAGAGGAATAGGTGGGAAAAGTGATCTTAAGGAAGCCACAGGATAGAACTGTCAAGGAACAATAAGTGCAATGTGAAGCTTGCTTCTTCAAAACAAAAACGAAACAGGGACATCTGGTGGTTCATTTGGTTACTAAGCAGCTGCCCCTGGCTCAGGTCATGATCCCAGGGTCCTGAAATTGAGCACTGCATCTGGCTCCCTGCTCAGTGGGGGGCCTGCTTCTCATTCTACCTCTGCCTTTCCCCCTGCTTGTGCTCTCGGTCAAATAAATAAATAAAACTTTAAAACAAAAAACAAACAAAAAAATAAGAAAGGGGTAGAATCCATGGGACTTGTCAATATAGAGAAGTTTATGTGGTCATTAGACTGGTTGGGGTAGAAGCCAGATACAATGGATTGAGGTATGACTAGAAGGTGAGAAAGTAGACGAGCAAATTCTTATAAATTCTATTGTTGGAAATTGTGTGCCTTTAAATGGAAGAAAGGAAATGGAACAGTGGCATGAAGAGACCAAGGACCAAGAACCAACAGGGAGTTCTTTTCAAGATGATAGAGACCTGGGTATAATATTTGGCAAAAAAAGAGCCAGCCAATGGAGATAGTTAATGTGTCTTGGGAGTGATGAGATAGTTGATGAAAAGGTTGTGGAAAAGGTTGGGTGGCATTAGGATCTGATTGCACCCAGGTAGGTGGAGGCCACCTTAGTCTTGTTAAAGAGCAGGGATTTCTCATTCTCAGAGACTGGGGAGATAGAGGAAAGAATGGTGTAGATGTAAATCTGCAGTGAGTGAGAGACAAGAGAGAAAAGACAACATAAGAATTTTGGTATGCACTAGGAGGTACAAAGTTGCCGTCTGAGAGCAAAGATAGGTCTCAGAAAGCCATGAAAGTTTGTCATACTCTGTGGGGATTGAGAGAGGGGGAGTGCCCAAGATGAGTACCAAGAGATCTGAACATATCTGAGTCCCCACTATGTCCTTCCTTTCAGAGGTAGAGCTAGGGCAGCAGCAGATTGCATCATGAGCTGGCATTTTTCACAGTAGCCCAGGGGGACAGCCTATTTTGTACTGTCTTGGGTGGTTGCCAAAGATGGCCTTGTTCTTCTAGTTCATTACAAGTCCCAGGCCCAGGATCTATCAGATTCCTCAAGCTTCTAGAATAAGGGTAATAGTAATGGCTAATGTTTATTAAGTCTTTTTGCGTAATTACTCATTTAGACCTCTCAATATGTCTAGGGAGTATCCTACAGTTTATAGATGAGCTAACTGAGCCATATTGAAATCCAGCAGCTTGCCCAAGATCACACAGTTAGTGGAGCTGGCATTCAAAACCAAATGATTTGCCTCCAGAGCCTTTGTTCTTAGCAGCACTGCTTCTAAAGGCTATGAAATGTTGAGAGCTGGAAGACAATTTAAGGACCATCTACTGAAAGCCTCTCTTTTTATAAATGAAGGACCTAAAGTTGCCCAGCTCACAAAGGAGTAACAAGAGAGCCAGGAAAAGAATCCCAGCTGCTGCAAGTGTGTTGATTTTCCCTAGCCCCAAATGCCTCTCCTTGCTCCAACCATGAGTCGAATCTTGAGTGGGGCCTCCTGGAGCTAGGATTTGCCTGTTCCAAACTCTGTAATTATGGCTGGGAGGAGCTCCACTGGTCTCCCGCTGTGGAAGGACAAGGATGGTGAGCCACATCCTGGTGTTGTCCCTGGTCCTCAGAGACCACCTCCTGGTCGCCTTTTCATTAACCTTAAGTATGCAATATTGAGGAGATACTTTCATGAGACTACAGAGTCTGTCTTCTTCAGGTTTCTGAATGGGTCAAGAACATAAATTTCCATGTTCTTACTTACAATCAAACTTCACTTTTTTTCCCCTCTAAATAGTGGATCTATATAACAGCTTGACTTCTGGTTGGCTTTTCTCATCCTATTTAAAATAGTAGGTGGGACACCTGGGTGGCTCAGTGGTTGAACATCTGCCTTCGGCTGGGAGGTAATCCTGGAGTCCCCCATCGAGTCCCCCATCGGGCTCACTGCAGGAAGCCTGCTTCTCCCTCTGCCTATGCCTGTGCCTCTCTTTGTGTGTGTCTCTCATGTATAAATAAATAAAATCTTTAAAAATAAAAAGAATTTTAAAAATAAAATAGGCATCACTGTGACCATTATACCCATAGAGTATAATGTAAAAAATAAAATGAACAGGGGTGGCTCAAAATAATTTTAATTTTCAGCTGGCTCTGGAGTATGGAAGGATTATAAACTTGCCTTCAAATATTTTTACTTGGCATCTCAGAGTGGGCAGCCCCTTGCCATTTATTATCTGGCCGAGATGTACGCGACAGGAACAGGAGTGTTAAGATCATGCAGAACTGCTGTGGAGGTAAGTAACAGGAGGTTTTTAAAGAATTATTCACTTATCACAAAGGGGAGGTGATACTGTCCTTAAGTTGTTAGTGTCTTCAATTTTATAGATATCACCTCTCCCTGTTGAGAGTGTGAACACTGACATTTGCCAGGGCAAAAAAAGCTGTACCATAATTCAGGCTGGGAAAGGGAATAAGAGAATGATCCTTCCTCTCGTGCATCTGGCTTTCATCAGGTTCAGAGCTCACTTCAGAAGTTCATTAAGGACCTCTGCCTCCACCTTCAGTCAAATGGCCAGGGCAGTTTGGCCTTTCTAAGTAGGGTTGGGAGTTGTGACTTGGGAAATGAATGGCCCGGTTTATCCCAGAAAATGTAGCCCACTTCTTCCCAGAAAAGAAGGTCCTTAGGTTTTTGATGATTTGGATGACAGCTGAGAAAGTGAGTTCTTTCAGCCCAAGCCAGTGATGTACTTACTTTTCAAAAGGAAGCTTTTAGGACTTTAATGACCTTCATTGATTTATTAAGCACTTTTGCTGCACCAATATAAATATCTCCATATTGCAATCTGACCCCTCTGAAACTCATTTCAAAAGCTGCCAGCTAATAATCTATCTTTAGATTTGCTCCTTTGCCAACTTCCTCATGAATTATGTATGGCTAACCTCTTTTGGTTACATAAGGGCTATTCAGCTATGTTGACATCTGTCCCCACATTGCTCTGCACATCACCCTCGTGTTATGTCATCTACACCCTCAGGCACTGTCTTCCCTTCATTCTCTACTTTCCACATCAACTGTGGCCCTTATAACTCACCCTTGCAGAGTAGCAGTGCCCCGAAAAGATCCTAAAAAAAAAAAAAAAAAAAAAAACAAAAAACGGAAGTTGATACGTTCGTTCTTGTCCTGCCAAATGGCCCCTAAATCGGGAGAGTTTATTATGTAAATTTAAAATGATCCTCAGGAAGTTTCAGCTCAAGACCAAAAAAATATACACTTTGTAATCTTTGTGCCTATGAAAAGTATTATCTCTTTACCCTACATAATTTTTAAAAGCCATGCTTTAGATCTAAAATCCTTGCCTGACCAACCAGCAGAAGCTGGTGATTAACTTCATTTATCACTTAATCGTTTACCTGAGATGAAGTATATTGGCTAACTAGTCTACTTGATTTCTTCTTCCATGTACAGCTTTATAAAGGAGTCTGTGAACTAGGCCACTGGGCTGAGAAATTCCTGACAGCATACTTTGCCTATAAGGATGGTGATATAGATTCTTCTCTTGTTCAGTATGCACTACTTGCAGAAATGGGGTATGAAGTAGCTCAAAGCAATTCAGCATTCATTTTGGAATCTAGTAAGATAAGTTAAAATTCTCTGCAATTTTTCCCCAATCATACATATGCATAAATGACTTTACTACATGGGTATTTTAAGCCTTCCTAATGAAATGTCTCCTTTTTTTAGAAAAGGCTAAAATTCTTGAAAAGGAGAAGATGTATCCAATGGCACTTCTCCTATGGAATCGAGCTGCCATTCAAGGTAGAGAACCTCGGTAAAGATGAGCGCATACCTGGTCCCTGTCCACTATTAGTCATTAATTTGCTCCAACTGAGTTCTTGGACATAGAAGCAGAAAGCTTCAGGGTATTAATTAGGTGGTATTTCCAACTCTACCAATCTTAGCCAGTCTTTGGCAAGGGGTCATTTCCAGGAATTTCTTCTTTGTTATTCTTAAGTTCCTTAGTTTGGTAAACCATAGGAATTTCCCATGGCTCTGTCTCCATGGTCCAGAGCAGTTGTTTGAAACATGACAGTTTTACTCAGTTACTCATTTGCTGACTTTTTCCTGAACTTATCAGAAAACTGACCTATGTCTCAATGAATGTATAGGCAAAATTATTCACGATCTAAGACTCATTTGATTTCTCTCTTACAATACCATGTAGATGATCACTACCAACTTCAGATCTTTATTATCACTATTAACGTGTTAGCATCAGAAAACAAAACAGAACAAAACCCTGAGTCAAATATCAAGATCCTCTCCATGTCCCTGCGCTTCTCCTGCCCTGTGTACAGAGTTCACATGTGATGGGGAAGGTGCACTTGCATCTGTGGGAAAGCATTGATAGCTGGCATTATTAAAAGCAAACAAATGCAGCAAAGCTCTCACTATCAGGATTTGGATATGTGAGGGACTCTTGCGCATTAAAAGAGCAATTTTGCTTCTGATTCCATTTCTTAAAATTGTCTTGTGGTAAGGTCGATTCTTCTCTTTTCTATAAGAAGTAAATGAGATAAAAAAAATAATTCCCAAGTGACACTAATAGGAAGCCGAGGGGAAAAAAATCACAGGGGTGCCTTTGAAGATCCAGCTGAGCCGGTAACATAGCAGCAAGCCATCCACGCAATTTTAGCGAGAAATTCCCTAAAGAAGACAAGTGTGTGTTTCCCAAAATGCAGTAAAGACCCTGTTTGGCATAGAGAAACAACACCAATCTCTCAGCTATGGCAAATCAGCTCAATTGCAGCAAATACAGGCTTATTCTAAGCCAGGAAATTGCACCAAGGAAAAGAGACATTGAATGCAAGAGGACATTAATATTAAATAGAATTCACCAATATAAAAAAAAATGTCAGACCGCTAAAAATAATTCTGTGTCACAAGAGAGGTCAGGCACGAGTGTCCCTGGAGATGGGGCTGCTGAATGTCTCACTTGAGGTTAGAAAATGTAATGATGAATGTTTCTAATCACTGGTGAGGCAGAGTGGTGACCCTTCAGGATTCAGTCACTATGCTATGACTGTGAAATTCCAGGGGGGAGTCCCTCCCACTGTCAGGTGACCCCCTGAGAGCCTGTCAGGGTCACCACATGCTCCCAGTCAGCTCCCCAATTAGGGTGGAGCTGACTCCTCTGGAAAACCTACTAGTTAATTGCCTTCCTTCTTAGGGACTTCAGAGACCCTGCTTACTGCTTTTAAAGCTTGAAAATGCACAGAAGTCCTGTCCTTTTGTAGTTATGGCCCAGAAAGAATCTTCAGGTCAATGGAGAGCAACTTCCAGCAAAATTAGAAATGGAGTGGGTTTCTCATTACGGCTCTAAGGGACTTGGGATGCGTTGGTGGCTCAGCGGTTGAGCATCTGCCTTTACCTCAGGGCATGATCCGGGGGTCCTGGATCGAGTCCCACATCAGTTTCCTTGCAGGGAGCCTGCTTCTCCCTCTGCTGTGTCTCTGCCTCTCTCTCTCTATGTCTCTCATGAATAAATAAAAATTTAAAAAATCTTTTTTAAGAAAAAGGTTCTAAGGGACTTTGCCTCTTCAGGTCCCTGCAGATCCCTCTCTTGTGTGGCATTTCTAGAAGGACTTGCCCCCACCTACCTGTACCTTTTGAAGATCTGGGAAGCAAATCCTGTTTTAACCAATGTCTTTAGCTGCTTATGAATTTTATGATGATACCTCTACTCAGAGCTAAAGAAGGCTCATGGTGTTACACTTTAATAGAGGATTCTAGAAGATTAAGAGAACTTCAATACCCAAAGGAATTGATTTCAAAGGATTTTAGGCATTGCAGTGGGACAAATGTGGGGGAAATTTTGAATGGAAGGAGTCCTATAGCCCTTAAAATATATGTTAGACCATACTACCGGGGGTGCTTCCTCCTTTTCCATGTAACTCTAGACCATGCTATAGAAGTTGGCCACACCTGAGATGGATGTCCTAGATTTGCACCTCCTCATCTTTTCTTTTTTCTTTTTAATATTTTATTTATGTATTCATGAGAGACACACACAGAGAGGCAGAGACACAGGCAGAGGGAGAAGCAGGCTCCTTGCGGGGAGCCTAATGCAGGACTCAATCCCTGGACACTGGGATCACACGCTGAGCCAAAGGCAGATGCTCAACCACTGAGACACCCAGGCATCCCAGCATTTCCTCATCTTTTCAATTAACATTTTCCTAGTGAATGAAAACATGGACCTCAAAGAGACCCTTAGAGGTTATCCCTAAGTGGCCTTCTGAAGACTGAAGCCTCATATCTTAGAGAGTTACATGAACTTTTTCTGCTCCTGGATATATACAAATTTGTTGGAAAGTAGGATTTCTAAATTATTTAACACTTGAGGAAAGCATTTTCTAAAAATGTCTGTCCATTCATTCCATAAATATTTGCAAATGCCATTCTAGGTCTGGAGTAATATCAGTGATCGAGAACTTCAAAATTGTTGTCCTCATAAGAGAGAGTGAAAATAAATTCATAAGAGAGAGAAAGTAAACACATAAGATTACAGCGAGGGGCACCTAGGTGGCTGAGTGGTTGAACGTCTGCCTTTGGCTCAGGTCATGATCCCAGGGTCCTGGGATCAAGTCCCACATTGGGCTCCCCACAGGGAGCCTGCTTCTCCCTCTGCCTATGTCTCTGCCTCTCTGTCTCTCTGTGTCTCTCATGAATAAATAAATAAAATCTTTAAAAAAAAAAAAGATAACAGCAACATGTGCTGTGAAGGAAATAAAACATGGAGGTGAGATAGGTAACTACTGGAGTAGGGGATGAGGGGATACTTTAGACAAAGTAGTCAGAGAAGGCCTCTAGGAAGGAAGTGACATTTGCAGTGAGACCTTAATAATGAGAAACCAGCAAATGAAGAATCAGAGAAGTCCAAACATGACAGGCTGAGGGACATGGAGAATCTTAATGCAGAGGTCCTGGGGCAAGAATGACTTTGGTGCATTGAAGGAGTATTACGGAATATTAAGAAAGCTAGAGCATATCAAGAAATTGACATGTGATGAGGCTAGTCAGGGAGGTGGAAGGCAGATGAAGTACCACTGAGAGGTCAGGTGGGGAGTCTGGGTACTATTCTAAGTGCAAAGTGAAGCATTTGGGGGCCAGGGGGAAATAACATGATTTGACTTTACATTTTAAAAAAGTCATCCTGGGGGCACCTGGGTGGCTCAGTCGGTTAAGTGACCAACTCTTGGTTTCTGTTCAGGTCATGATCTCAAGGTCATGAGATCAACCCACCCCACACTGTGTCATGCTCCACACTCAGCAGAGAGAGTGCTAGAGATTCTCTCTCTCCCTCTGCCCCACCACCTGCAGCTTGTGCACACACCCTCTCTCTCTTTCAATAAATAAATAAATAAATAAATAAATAAATAAATAAATAAATAAATAAATCTATCTTTAAAAAAAAATCATCCTAGCAGATGAACATTTGTACTATACCATGGAAGTTGTCCTGCAATGAAAACAGCTAGTGATGAGTGTTATATTTTATATTCTATAAATTATATCTAATCTTGATTCTAAGATTCTGAGTGTTTTTTCTTTTTTATGTATACTACCACTAGTATACACTGAGTTACTAGGAACCATACAAAAATCATCAGATTTTTTTTCTTCTCTTTGTAACGTTTCTATCAGGCAATGCGTTTGCTAGAGTGAAAATTGGAGATTACCATTACTATGGCTACGGGACTAAGAAAGACTATCAGACAGCAGCCACACATTACAGCATTGCAGCTGACAAGTACCACAGCGCACAAGCCATGTTCAATCTGGCCTATATGTATGAACACGGTTTGGGTATTGCAAAGGTAATAATCCACAGCTAGTCATGGCAGCTGTATTGGTAAGGGAAATTTGTAGAAGTTTTTAATTTCATTGATGTCATCGGTGTAGAGGAAGGAAAGAAAAGACAACATTTGCTGAATCCCTCCCCCTGTACCAACACAGAATACTTACCCTAACATGAACCCTATGAGGAGGAAAGACATTTCCTGCCCAAAGACATATCTAATGAATTGAAGTAAATCTAGTCTACGATAATTAGATTCATAACTTCAAGATTTTTCCAGCAATAGTCATGGCCCCTGCCCCCATTCCCTTCCACCTCCAGGCCTTTTTCCATTAAAATATCCATTGACTCTAAAGCTCTCAGTAAATAAGGAGAAGGTGGGAAAGAGGTCAGAGCTGGATACCAAGGTGATATTAATTCCAGAAATGTCTTGTAAATCACCCACACTGTGTACATGACACATTGCTGAGCACTCTAGAGTATCCTAAGAAAATAGATCTCCATCCTTCAAAGACTACAATTTACTTGAGATAAGGCATATTTAAAAAGAAAGAGAGCTAACACAATAAGAAGATACTGGGTAAATCTTTTATAAGTGTAATTAAGATAAAGGATTGCATTGGGTTCTGGCAGTGAGAAAGGTATACTAAATATCAATAATGATAGTAACAGCCAGGCATTGGTGTGTTATATATACTAAACCATTTAAATCACACAGCCACTCAACGAGATAAGCCTTATCATTGTCATCAGTGTATGCATCAGGAAACCAAAAGTGCAGAGAGGGTAAGTCACGTGGCCAACTTTGTAGAACTCATTGGTTCTCTGACTCATGGAGTCAGAATTTGAATCCAGGCCTGTCTGACCCCATGTTTTGTTGGGGGGGGGAATGTGTGAGCTCTGCATCGAGTTCTTCTTGGTGCTCAAGTATATATTTCATATCAGTTTATACTCCCTGCTGTGTTTTCAGAGCCAAACAATGAAGAGGTTATCAGCTTTTCTATGCTTTCTTCTTTCTTCTAGTTGGGCTAGTAGTTGAGAGTTACTGATGGGGAATTTCCTATCTGACTGCCAATGGTACACCCACCCTGCAACAACCAAGGGCTTCACATTTAGGCACGGACAATCCAGATCCCTGCCTTCCTGAGCTCTCCCTGTGGCCTGCCTTTTGGCTGATCACTTTTCCTCAGCTCTAGTACTCTAAACAGTGGAAAGAATGTCAAATCCAAATCCAATCTTTTGGAGGGCCTGGGTGGCTCAGTCAGTTAAGCATCTGCCTTTGGCTCAGGTCATGATCCCAGCATCCTGTGGGACTCAGTCCCACATCAGGCTCTCTGCTCAGCAGGGGAGTCTGCTTCTCCCCCTCCCCCAGCTCACGGTCTCTCTCTCCCTTGCTCACTCTCTCTCTTTCAAATAAATAAATAAATAAATAAAATCTTCAAATATAGTCTGTTTTCCCCATTCTTAGTAGATAAAAGCTTCCTGCATTTATAAAATGAGATCAAATAGCTAAATCAGAAGATTTCCTTGGATGTCATTTAGCTATACTCTACTCCCTTACAACCATCATCCACAGCTATAAAACAGAATGATACCTCCCCACCCCAGGCTTTGAAATAAAACAATAAGTCCTTGTGAAGGGGCTTTGTAGTCAGTGTATGGAATGACTGGTTTTTAGATCAGAAGAGAATTTGAGTGACTGCTAAGTTTCAATAAAATTGAAGCTTTTGTTCATCATTCCTCATGCAGAATTTAACAATAATGTTGACAGGAGCACTGTGTGTATCATGGATAAAAGTGACCTCATTCTATGGGCTACATTCAAATTAGCTCACCTGTCTTATGTGCTTCAAGGACTTGGTCCCCATGACAGCCTTATCCTCACCACAATAAGGCCATTTTGCCTTAAGACCTTAGAGGCAGGGAGGACATAGGACCAACTGTGTGAGAGGACATACTCTGTCTACCGAAGCCCAGATGGCCCACTGTGTCAGAGGGTCTGATTTTCCTTCTTGTAGTCACCACTACTCAGTGGCATAGGCTATATAACACACCAATGCCTATTCACAATGCCAATAGAGATTGTCAGGTTGTTTCATACATTTAGAAAAAAAATTGAAACTTGTCTCTGACCACATTTCTGTTCTTTCCTGTCCAGGTCCCGTAAAATCATGGGCAGTTCATTTTGATCAGTATCTCATAGTCACGTGTATTTTTTTCCTACAGAAAGTCTCTACATGGAAAAATACAAAAACAAAAAACAGGGCTATACTCAGACCTGGACATGGGCATTTTAGATTTAGTTAATGAGGAGCCATTGCTCTTTGTCTTTATTAATTTTTTCTGTTTTGCAATTAGAAAAATGATAACCAAGTACCCAGGGGCCAAGCTGATTAATCTTGTTACCTCATAGTCAAATTAACAAGAAGATACTACATTTTCTCATCCTTAAAATGAATACACTGATAATTAAAAGCGAAAAGCTTGTTCCAGCAATGGTTAATGAAAGCAAAGGAATTAGGAGAATAGACTTTCACAGCATTAAGTCATCAAGTAATTAAGCATTTCTTCGGTAGGGCACTTCACAGTCCTCTTTATTAGTTAATCCTCATGCAAACCAGTGTGAAAGATAAGTATAATACCATTACCAGGATTTCTGAGAATTGAAAAAGCTTTTGTAAATATAGAGCCCTCCTGGAGAAGGAAGTGAGGTATAAATCAACCCTTGGTAAATCAATATAAAAATATGGGTCACTGTCCTCCTCATCTGTCTTTAAGAAAGGACATCGGGACTAGGGTTATGTAGGTGACTTATCTTAATCGCTTCACTGAGAAGCATCTCATTCCCCAATTTATGACTTTGAACTAAGCTCAGTGAATTCCTTGACTTAAACTGGGCCAGGACTGACTACACCATTGTTCTGGGAATACAAAAAAAATGCCTGAGGAAAAACTAGGAGAAGACCTGATCTAATTTAGAAATATAAGCACTCAGCTCACAAGTTGTTATGGAACCCTATTTCAATTTACCCTTGATTTAGAAGTACTTCAGAAATTTAACCATGAAGAAAACGTGTCGCTCACCTCCTCCTGCCCATTCCTCCTGTCTGTATCCTGGCTCTGGCCAGAGTTTCTCCTCCATGTAGGCTTGTTGTAAAGGCTTCTCCATGGCCTCCCATCCTAGTGTTCTTCTTTTAGATCTGCTGCAGAGAAAGCTGTGCCTGCCAAAGATTTTAATCCCCAACTCACAGGGAGGACTTGTTGCTGAGATGTGTCTCCTGGTCAGAGACTACATTTCCCAGCTCTCTTTATTCCACATGACTGATTCCTACCAACGGAATAGAAGTAAAAGTGAAGAGTGTCATTTCTGGGCTAAGGCAGCCAAGAAGTAGATGGAGCTTCTCCTTCCTTAGGCTCTTTCCCCTTCCTTAGTCTCTTTCCCCTTCTATTGTTTGAATGCAGAACACACAGATGCTCTCAGGGATGGCAGAACCACATGGTGGAAGGAACTTGGGTCTCTCGATTACCACATGAATTAAATTCACCCCATGTTGAGATCTGAGAATTGAGTTGTTACAGATGTTAGCATTACCTTAGTTAATACATAATCCATCTAACAAAGCACTACCAGGTTATTTTTGATAAAATTCAATCTGATACTGTTAGTCCTCCACCTCACTTTTCCCAAAATCTTGCAAATACACAAAAAAATACAAGCAAACACAGAAATAAAATCATCTTATTGACTTTGTATTGCCTAATTGTTACTCTGCCATTTAAAACCCTCCTTGACCTAATGTACCTACTTCCCTATGTATCTTCTAGACCATTTTTCCTTCCCTTGCCCCTTTCCCCAACCAGAGATCTTGAATTAAACCCTCCCGACCTTTGGTTATATCACCCCATTTGCTGGAATGATCCTCTCCCACAGCTTCGACCACTGAAGACCCCTGCATTTTTCAAAGACTAGTTCCTATATCATCTCCTCCATGAACCCTTCAATGAGCACTCAGATTTGAAAGGTATCTGCATCTGCTTCTAAACTACCTGGTACTGTGCCTTGCTTTTCTTTATTCACCCAAATATTTATCAAGGCTTGTTTTGTCTCAGGAAGCACTGTGCTTCATTCTAGGGATACAAGAACAAGCCAACTTTCAAAGAGCTCAGTCTACTATAGAAGAAGAGACATGTCCTTAGTGAGTGAAAGGCTAAAATGGCACTACTGCATGCTCACACAAAGTACTGTGGAAATGTTAACGAGGGCACAATGAATTCAGGTGGAGGGATCCTGCTGGGTCCTGTTCTAAAATGATTTTATAACATGGAGCATAAGAAACACATGATGATCTTTTTAATGGAAGAAAGCATGTATATTTTAAGATAATGACTAAGAAATCTATCCTAAATTAGGACAAAAGGTAAGGAGGAAATTAGCCTTTGGAGAGGAGTTTCCCCCATATACAGTTAGACCTACCAGATAACACATTTTTGGGATCCTACCGGGCAAACAAAAAGCACATTCACTGAATAAATTATAAATAGATCTGTCACAAATGAAAGTAATTATGGCATGAAGCATTTCCATTTCTCACTTGTCTGGTTTGACCACTTATGGGGTGTTAGAACTGAAGCTTTAAACATCAGAATAGAATTATTTTCTGGGAAGGACAAATCCAAGTTAGATATTTAAAATGGCCTTCTCAGAGATAGGACAGGTCAGAACACACACCTCTTAGAAGTGGCCATAACTTCTCTTGAAATAAATGCCTTATCACCTAATAAAATGGTCAGAAATGTACAAAACAAAAAAACTGTATGTGAATAGCTTTATTTATTACAGAAAAAACCTACAAATAAACAAACTGCTCCAAAATAGAAAGCATGTTCTATAAACCATCATGTGGTAGTATACTGTTGCATTATGTATTCTATGGCCTAGTGATAGATGACAGACACTATCTGGATTTGAATCTCAGCTCTGCTACTCATACATCCCATGAATTTAGATAAGTGACATAACCTTTCCATGCTTCAGTTTCTTCATCTTTACAGTAGAGATAACATCAACATATCTATATAATTGTCATGAGGTTTAAATAAATGACAGTGATGACTGGCATACAGTGGAAGTATTTAGTAAGTATTAGTCATTATTATGAAATATTATGCAACTATTAAAAATAGCATAGACTAAAAGAATATCTTAGGACATGGTATTTTCTTTGAAAAATAGAGTTAGGTTAAGAAAGCAAAAGACAAAATATTACCTAAAGAGAAAAATTCCTAAATTAAAAGTATGTGTGCATATGATATATATAAAAATGCTGAACGGTTGTGCATAAAATATTATCAGTACTTATGTTTGTACAGTGAAATTGTACGTGGGCTTTTAATATTTGTTCAGCTCTATGTCTTCAAGATTTTGTACAATTAGAATATAGTATATTGATAGTAAGAAAACAAGATTATCCAAAAAATGATCTCTGTCCCCATATAAAAAGTTTTTGATGACACCCAAAGATGCAGGGCTGGAAAACTCACACATCGTGTAATTGAGCAATTTTCATAAACCAGAGAATTACTGGAGAATTCTGTTTTTTTAGTTATAAAGAAGCTATTTTGAACATGTGAACACTGGGCAGTACTTTGGCACACCTGATATTTTAGTTGGAAACACATCGTTTAAGAAGAGTCCTTAGATCATTTACCTGATCTCCTCAATCAGGTGACTTTAAAGCATAATAAGCTCAAATGTACCACAAGAAAGTTAAATGTAAGTGATTGGGTGTGCAATGGACTTCTTTAATGAACCCTGGTCATCATAAAAACACTTTTGAAAGGAAATTTTTTGTCTGAATGACTTGGATTTTTTTCCTATAAGGATCAAAGAACAAGGAGTCTTTTCTAGAGCCTGCTAATAAAATTTCTGTTATATGGGTTGCCCTAATTAGTCAGTGGGTTCAGGAATTTCTCTGGGAATTTTCAAGAACAACTTCCATGGCCTGCCCATCCCCACTGAGAATTGTGAGGCCGGGGGGCAAGAAGTGAGCTCATCCCATTTTAATGGTACTTCTTGCTAGTTTTTATTATAAACTAAGCAACTGAATTGTGATGCTTGTGCCTCAAGAAATAAATTAATAACTATAGCCTGTTTCAAATAAGAATGAATGCCTGAGATACTGACAAAGGCTGCTGTTCCCCAAACGCCCTATTAAAGTCAGTATGCCTTTCATGTGTGGGGGTGACACAGCCGTTATAATCTGCAGGGTGCTTTCAAATGAACACCCACTGAATTTGTTGGAATTAGAGACACAAATTAGAGTTTTTACAGCATACATGTTCTCTGTTGCCAGGAAGATTTGTTCAGAACAGTTTCTTGCATTTTAAGTTCTTAAGCAAGAACATTCCTTTTTCTCCAACAAATCAATTTATTAAACAACAAAGCTTTGGAAAAAATTCAAGAAATGATAAGCAGGGTGCAGCTGAGAGAGAATAGCACCCAAACATGGGTGTAGCAGGGGCCACAGGGACTCACAACTATTGCACTCCATGTCATAGAGGTTTGGGAGATGGAGAAGAAAGACGAAGAGATATAGGATAACCACAGTTTGTGAAAAATCTCCTCTTATCCTTTGGGAAATGATCAAGGGTGCTCCCAGCAAAGTACAATTCTGGGACTGGCCAAAGGCACTTCAACCTTTAAAAGCAGCTCTGCTTAGCCTTTTCATTCCTGTGTCTGGAAAAGCAAGCAAAAATAAAGCAAACAAATAAAAACAAGCCATAAATAGGTGAAAATTAAAGAAAACAATTTTGTCTGCCATGGCATAATTTAGTGAGGAGTGAAAAGATCCCTAGAAATATAGTATGCCATCTGAGGAATCAAATTCCAGCCTGAGAACTAAACAGTTTATTCACTCTTTCTGTATTACTGGAGACCAGCTATGTACTCCACACTTCACTAAGCACTGGGAATTGAGGCGTTAACACGTTGTCCAGGTCTTTGAGGACAACCTGTTGAACCTGAATGAATTTATTAAATAAATAAATGAATTTATTCCCACAAATGAATAAACAAATTCTGTAACTTCAGGTATGATAAGTACTGTGAAGAAAACTAGGAATTTTAAATGCTTGCCAGTATCTGTATTGTTATCTGTTTGGGGAACTGTACTGTTCCCATCTAGTGTTCTCCTGCCTCTTTAACTGGAATCAAATCTAAGGTCTGGTCTAGTGGTATCCAAGAAAGCTTTTTGGGTAGTTTTCTATGGCTCCTGTAACAAGTCCTCACAAATTTAATGGCTTAAAACAACTCACACTTATTATCTCACAGTTTCTGTGTGTCAAAAGTCTGGGTGAGCTTGACCAGTTCTTTTAGCCTTTAGTCTTCACAGGCTAAAATCAATCTGTATTCTTTCCTGAAAGCTTTGGGGAAGAATTACTTCCAGGTTCACTCAAATTGTTGGACATATTCAGTTTCCTGTGCTTGTAGGACTGAGGGTCCCTTTTCTTGCTGTCTGCCCACATTCCTTCCCATTCTTTCCATGTGGTTCCTCCAGCAATAGTGAGTTGAGGCCTTCCCAAGCTAGAAGCTTGAACTTCTCCTGCAATATCTGAATTTCTCTTCTTCCCTCAGCCCTAAGAAAACTATTTCAGGGCTCCTATATTTATATGGAGTCTGCCCAGGTAATCCAGGATAATTTATTTTAAGGTCTGTAACCTTAATGACATTTTCAAAGTCCCCTTTACCATGTAACAGAACATAATCTACAGGTTCCAAGGACTGGGGTATGAATATCTTAGAGGGAGCTTACCAAGGATAAACAATGATATTTCAAGTGATGGCTTTCATTTATTTACCCCTAAAGAATCTGCACCTAATGAGTAGGGCTGTTCTTCTATTTCTAGGACATTCATTTGGCCAGGAGATTATATGATATGGCTGCTCAGACAAGCCCAGATGCTCACATACCTGTTTTTTTTGCCCTCATGAAACTGGAAACTGTGCATTTGCTCCAAGATATCCTGTTTTTTAATGTAAGTCTTTCTCACATAGATCCCAAATCTCTGAAAACAACAATGAGCAACTTTTGGATGGTGGGATGGAAGGAGATGATGGCTCTGGATACAGTGGGGAGGCTTGGATTTTTTTTTTTTTGATAGAATGTCTCTCCCAGCAGTTTACAATGAGATGGAAATGGATGAAATTGGACAACACTCTTGGACCATACTGGGATTTATTTGTGATTGGCCTAATCATTGTTGTGCTGATCTTCTTGCTTAGAAACCGCTATGGGTAGGATCCAGACCATAGGAAAACCTGCTCACGGGAACAGTTCACTTCATGTTATCCTCAGTAAATAAAGAATTTCCTCGTCAAACTCAAGAGTCTGCTGTAGATTTCCCACACAGGCCTGCAATGGAAATAGACAAAGCTCGAGACCTGTCTTCAGACACCATTTCAGACTTCCTGCTTAGTTGGGGTGACTACTTCTGGGGGAGTGAGGTACTAGAGACTAGTCACCAGAGGTTTCCTTGTAGACTTGTTGTCTTGGTGATCTAGTCCCTAGTTAGGGACATCTTCATGTTTTTATGACAGCCTCTCCCCTCTCAAGAGGACAAATGGGTTTCTTGCCTCCTACATACATACAGAAGTAAGGATGAGGGGGAGTTTTGGGATGACAGGAACACAGATCCCTCCAAATCTGATAAAGATACAAATTTACAAATAGATCCTTCAGCTTGCAGGAATGATCCTATGAACCACACTGTAGCTGAGATGAGCAAAAGTTCCTTGTGGTATGCTGTGCTGGGGGACTGACACACTCATCACCTGGGCACCTTCTATCAGAGCTCCCTTAGCAGTGAACAATGCCATCTGGGTTTGTCCAACATTGTAGTCCTCCCTGCCATTCCTCACTGGAACCTTGTTCTCCCTGGGGAATCCCCTCTGGAGTATCCACAGAGGGAGAGAACAGAGCTAAAGAGTCTACCTCCCTGTCTCCTGTGGCAGGGAGAGCAGGGACCTGGGCCTGGGGGCAGGGTGGCCGAGGAGAGAGCAAGAGGCCCAGGACTCCTGTCAAGGGCCAGGCTTAAATCTCAGCTCCACAACTCTTTAGCTATTTGACATATCTGAGCCTCAGTCTCCTGATCTGCAAAGTGGGAAGATCTCAGCTGGTACAAGGATTAATGAGATAACATATATAAAGGGACTGTCACAGGGCCTAGTGTTCTAGAATGAACTCCACAAATAGTAACTTCTAATACTCTCTAAAATCTCATGGAAGGGGTGCCTGGGTGGCTCAGTCAGTTAGGTGTCTGCCTTTGACTCAGGTCATGATCCTGGGGTCCTGGGATAGAGCCCCAGCTCAGTGGGAGTCTGCTTCTCTCCATCTGCTCATGTTGGCTCTCTCTCTCTCCCTTTCTCTCTCTCAAATAAATAAAAAAAATATTTTTGAAAAATTAAATCTCATGGGAAATTGACCGGAATATGGGGACAGCTGAGTTGATAATGACTTGTGTGACTTCAGTGACCTGCAGTTAGTTCTCCAGCCAAAATCCTGTGTGTTTTGGTAGGAAAAGATCAGCTTGCCTACTTGAAAATCCAACTCAGGGACAGGAAAAGAGTTAATTAATAATGTCAGTCATAATCAGAGAGTAGAATGAAATGGTGAGAGGGCACTGAATTTAGAACCAAACAACCTGGATTTGAGATCCAGCTCTGTCCCTTAGTTAGCTCTGTATGACTTTGAGCATAATTTCTCTAAACTCAGTTTTTCCTCCATAAAATAGGATTAATTCCTACCTCACTGGAAAGTTATGAGGTTTAACATAAACCTAATATCAAAAATGCTTTATAAATATTGTACATACAAATACTAGCCATAGTCATTTATTTGACCATGAACTAACCCAGGTCTTTCTGAGGTCCAAGCGTCAAGAATTTCCTGTACTGAATCCCACACTTACTGGAGAGTTCCAATTTTTTTTCTTTTCAAATTTTTATTTAAATTCTACTTAGTTAACATGGAGTGCAATATTGATCTCAGGAGTAGAATTCAGTGGTTCATCACTTACATACGACACCCAGTGCTCATTATAACAAGCGCCCTCCTTCATACCCATCACTCATCTAGCCGAACCCCTGCCCACTTCCCTCCAGCAAACCCTTGGTTTGTTCTCTATAGTTAAGAGTCTCTTATGATTTGTTTTTCCTCTCTCTTTTTTCCCCTCTTCCCATATTGTCATCTATTTTGTTTCTTAAATTCCTCATGGGAGTGAGATCATATGGTATTGTCTCTCTCTAACTGACATTTCACTTACCATAATACAGTCTAGTTCCATCCATGTCATTGCAAATGACAAGATTTTGTTCTTTTTGATGGCTGAATAATATATATATTCCAGTGTGTGTGTGTGTGTGTGTGTGTGTGTGTGTGTGTTCTTTATCCATTCATTAGTCAATGGACATTTGGGCTCTCTCCATAGTTTGGCTGTTGTGAATAGAGAGTTCCACTTCTGAAGGAACTTCTACTTACAAACATGCAAAGAAGGAGCGGGCATCCAAACTTCGGGTCCTGGTCCTAATAGGCCAGTGGTGAATTATATCCTATAGGTTTCTACAGTGCAAGCATGTCAGAGACAAGGATAAGGGTGAAGAGAGGAGTGTGTAAGGCAAGCAGGGGAGTCTTGGCTCAAAGTCTGAATGAAGAGTGAGCTTCTCAGAGGTAAAGCCTGTGGAAATAGCTGCAGGCAAGAAAGAAAGGGCAAATCTTTGTAGCTTGGTGTGTAGGGTAGAGAGCTGTCAAATACAGGAGCAAGGGTAGGGTAAGCTCATAAATTTCCCATTTCAGCCAATTGTGCCAAGTAAATGTGGCAAAGGCTTTGAGAGCATGAGCAGCTTAGGATGTTTGAATCACCCAAGTGTCCATTTCTGGGCCTCCTCTCTGGAGCTGCCTCAGAGGCACCCGGGACATGGGTGCACCCCTGCTGTACTTGTGCAGCGGCATGACGACTGGCCAAGGGAGAAGGAGCCTCCTGCCTGGCAGCCTCTTCTACCTTCTGTTATGACAACCCCACCTCCTCCATGGGCACACAGAGCCCCTATTCTTTCTGCTTCTGATAGCTTTAAACAAAAACTGATAGCCAGTAAACTACAAAGAAGCTTTTTTTTTTTTTAATCCAGTTTTCTTTGTAACTCCCTTTTTCCTGTACATTTCCTTTGCTGGTTCTTTATTAAAGCAGAGAAGGCTTTCAAGTCAATACATTTTTTTTTTAAGTCAAGTAAACAATTTTGTTTGCTAGAGTCAGGGTCCATAGTCACTTTACAAGGAGCACGGTTTTGGAATTCTGTGCTTTTGCCCAACATCATAAATGGTGGGTTTTAACAGCTGTAGCCATGAGTGGCTGAGAAAAAGAGAGAAGAAGATAAAGTCCGGAGGGAAGCAGAGGCAGATGGTACTGCTTGCTGCATCCCTTCTCTGGGACTCCCAGGAAGCACAGAGAAGACGGTGAGGGAAGGCTGAGAAGAGGGACGAGGAACTCTGTGGAATGCCCTACTATATGCCAGATTCTTCTGTTTCTCATTCCATCTTCATGATGAGACTAGAGGTGGATATAACTACCTGTGTCTCCTACAAGGGGAAACAAGTCTAGGAGAAGCTATGTAACTTGCTAAGATCACATAATAATGTGGTCACATAATAATAAATAATGAAGCTAGAATTTGAGTCCAGATCCAACTCCAAAATACTTTCTTTCCTCCATATTACTGTTCTAGTTATTTCTTGCTGCTTAACTACCTAAACCTCGAGGTTTAAAATGATCAGGCATTCTAGGCAGGCTGTGGCTGTGTGATTCCTCCTTCCACATAACATTGAGAGAGTCTACTTGTTGGGGTTCAGCTGGAGGACAGGCTATTCTAGAGAACCCAAGACAGTTTTACACCTGGCACCTTGGCAAGGTGACTAGCAGGTTGGACTTAGCTGTGAGGGGTGACCAGAGTACCTCTATGTCATGCTCTCTTCAATATGATGGACAGAGTCATGGGACTTTTTACTCAGCAGCTCAGAACTCCCAGAGATCTTTACAGAGACCTGGACACTGAGCTGTTTATCTTGGAAGACAGGCCTATGAGGTGGGATTCTTCTTCCATTTTATAGATATGCCCCCTGCAATGATCTGATTATTTCTTTAGAATAGTGTTAGCAGAGGATACTTGAAAGCAGACTCATAGTATTTTGATACTAACTGGTGAATCTGTTCTGTCTCAAAAAGAAATGTAGGTGCCATCAAGTAAATGGATTGGCAAATGTAAGGAGTATATTAAAAGAACCGAATACAGTAAGTAGGCTGTGGCCTGCCTGCTTCAACCTGGGGCCCCTGAGTGAGGAGGGAGTGAGGAGGGAAATGGTCAGTTTTGGCTGTTTCCTCCCCATCTCCACCTACCTGCCTCTGGCACTCCTCTGGGATTGGGATGGCAAGAGGTGTGGCTTAAGAAGTAGGATAGTTTATAATAAACTTGCACTTCTGTAATCCTGCAGAAAGTGCTTGCTGAACATGGAAGTTCACCATGTCAGCTCCCATGGAGCACTTTTGTGGCTTTCTCAGGGATTCCCCTGCTGAGAAACTTTTTTGTTTGGGGTCTCCTGAAAGCAAAGCCTGAGACAAGGATTTGTGTCTAGATAGTTCATTTGGAAGGTGATCCTAAGATTCAGAGTGAGGGCATGAAAAAGGATGAAAAGCCATTTTAAAAAGGTGCATTATTGAGGTCACTACTGTGGGCAATAGGGGTTTTGCCAAGATCTGAAAATTTTGCAAGATATTCCTGGAATTGTTTGCCTGAAAGATGAGAGGCTGGGGCACTTGCCCATCAGTTACCTCCTCCATCATCTGGGGATTGCTCCAGGCTGCAATAACGACCCCTCATCCCCTCCAGGCTATTTCTTTTTTTTTTTTTTTAATTTATGATAGTCACAGAGAGAGAGGGAGAGGCAGAGACACAGGAAGAGGGAGAAGCAGGCTCCATGCACTGGGAGCCCGACGTGGGATTCGATCCCGGGTCTCCAGGATCGCGCCCTGGGCCAAAGGCAGGCGCCAAACCGCTGCGCCACCCAGGGATCCCCCTCCAGGCTATTTCTTGAGGCTTTGGGGAACTCTCCAACATAGAACAAAGACTTGTGCCTTCTCTTAACATCGGGCACAGCTAACAGGAGTCTGAGGTTGCAGGAAAAGACCCTCTATAGCTTCAGCTGAAATCAGAGCTGACCAGGAAAAGCATCTGCTTCATTAATGAGGCCTCCTGAGCCTCAAAT